CTTTCTACCTTGCGATATTTACTCTGAAAATGCTGGATTCCTCTCATCTATTTTTGATAAAGTTCAAACTACCTTATACCTTGCTCACGCTAAAAACAGTGCACGCTATAACCTACGTCGCTCATTCAAAGAATTTAATGTCGGATATATGGTTTGGCGAAAGAACTACATATGTGCAAAGTAATGCAGGTTCTTACTTTAGCGCTAAACTCGCGCCTAAATTTCTAAAATGTAAAGTAGTTAAGAAAATCTCACCTTTAGTGTATATATTAGAAGATACCAATGGCTCTAAAGCTAAATGGCATATCAAAGACATTAAAATCTAAAACTCATACCTCGTTCACCGCATTAATTAATTCATAACTATTAATTCATTTATCACTCAAATCAGCATCTCTAAATTTAATATTTTATTGTTTACCCTAAAGCTCTTAAGCTTTCTCAACGTCTATAAAAGCCGTTAACCTTAAACATTTACCTCTATTTTTCTATAGAATACTTTTCTCCAGTGCTCTACCTTACTTAACCTCTTTAAAGGCAACTAAAGCCTTTACTTTAACCTTTACCTAAGACTACCTTAATGGGTGATTCCTGGGACCCATGATTTTAAGGGTCACATTGAAATATTAACTGGAGTAATAGACCAACTTGAATAAATTACCACTCCAAACTTTACTTAACTGTTGTAGTGTTGAGGCCCATTGATAAAAAATAATATTTAATTAAAGAAATTGGTTAAATATCCATTTGAAACTGAAAAACGCGGTAATTTCACTAGATTTTTCAGTGTCACACGCGCGACTCTTGCTATGTTATAGTGAATATTTTTTTTTACGCTGAAGGTTATACATATATACTTTTTTAAATACATAAAGAGTTATTCTATTAGATCATGAATAAACTGTTCTAAAATAATCAAAGTCTAGTATACCTTTATTCGTTCAAATACATGTCACGCGGCGGGCATAGTTTCAATCTCGCGGCGAAACTATGACAATTTATTTAGTGGAATACGCGGTAATCGTCTTGCGATTGGACCAAAAGATCGCTTGTTGACCGGCAGTGTTCGGACGGGAAGGTAGTGTCCGTAGATTTCGCGCAAAAAATTTTAGGTAAGTTCTTTGACTTCAGCAAATGTTTGTCCAACGGGGTAGGTATAAATCGTGGCTCGTTTTGCTGTTAATTTGAGAATAGTTTCACTTAACTGGTCATTGATTAATAATACGTATATCCCTGTGTAGGCACTGGAGTACAAATAAATACGATTTTATTTATAGTTTTACAGTAATACCTTAATATTTGAATTATCGTCAGATTCGTGGTCGTAAGATCCGTGGATTTAAGCCATGGATCTGATTTATCGACCATGGATCTGACCACATAATATTATAGCTTCACTGCCCCGTGGTGTAACGGTTAGGGCGTTGGACTCCCAACCTGAAGGTCGTGAGGTCGAATCCCGCGCGGACCAACATAATATCTCCTGCGTAGCTGGTTAGTCTCGTTGAGATTAGCCGCTGTGGTAGAAATCGACCAGGAGGCCTAATTTTTACAGCTTCAATCATTTTCTTTCAGTTTTAATTGCCGTGGGTACCTACCCAGTAAAGACTGATGTTTAAACGTAAGAATTTAAACAAATACCAAAGTAGTTTATTTATTAATTTTTTAATATTTTATATGCAATGGATGTAAAAAAATACAAAAAAAATAAAACTTCTGATTACTTCTGCTATAATGATGTTTTATTTATAATTTTCTTTATTGCAACATTCTAACAGGCGATTCTAACGCGACGCCATTACTTGATTCATATACTTCGTTAGATCCGTGATGCCCTTGGTCAGATCCGTGGTGAGCCAAAACATTTTCCTTTTTTTTTAAGAATCTATAAGGTCTACGTGTGTGCTTCATCTACAGAATGACTTGTTTTTCAGCCCTCTTTAGCCATATAATTTTAGTTTTTTCTAATAATGAAATAAAATAAAAGCCACGGATCTGATGCGAAGAACGTTGGTCCCAGGAATTACCCTAATGGTCTTCTCTACCTTAACCCTACATTCTTAAGTACTAACTGGTACTTCTTTCCGAGCGGCTGACTACTCGTTAAAAAAGCCTTAGGTCCGAGCGGCTGACAACTCGTTAAACAAGCCTTAGGTCGGAGCGGTTGATTACTCATAAAAGAAGCCTAGGTCAATATTTTTTTTCCACCTATGGAGCGGTTGACAACTCCCAAGGAACACCCTTCTAGAGTGGCAGTCATTGATCGTGAACTCCACCCTTACCTGTATGAAGTTGAGGTATGATAGAAGAGGAATGTGTATTTCTATGAATGGTTAGGTTACTGCGAAGTAGTGTTCCTCGGATCTCTTTTGGCCTTTTCTTTAAGCAAAATTTTCTCTAGTCAAAAATTTTCTGGGGTCGTGGGGGAAAATGTAACGTACCTCAGGGATCGTCCAATGGTTTCGACTGTCATAGGTTCCATTTCGCACATTTTATCATATAACATCATCGATATTCATCAGGCATCAACATATATTTTATTATGTATTCCTGGAAACACATAATTTCAAAAATATCACACACTATTCATCATTTTGTAAATACGTATAATAATTCCATCTGTACTGAAAATCACTATTCCAGAGTGCTGGACACTTACCGGAATTTCTCTTTATTCTGTTATTTATTTGTTTTCATTAATTTTGCTACGATTTTATCTATTTTTAGTTTATTTATTTTATTGACATTTATGACAACTTAATGTTTTTTATCCGTTGTCATGGCTACCCATGACACGGATACTCTCTCCAACTACGTGTATGACTATTCAACCTCCACAGACCACCTACTTTGATTCTTTTTAGTACGATTCGAACCGTGTCTAAAGGAGATTGCTCAGCTTCCATACATGTTTGGCCTAAAGACCAATAATCATGAAAAATTGTTTCCTAGATTCGAAATTATATATAAATTACTGTAGAAACGAATATTATTGATGGACACCCCTGAGAACTTCTATAAACAATATACACTGAACATATTAAAATAATAAAAAACAAATAAGTTATATAGTAAACTAAGGAAATTAAGCCAAATACTGAAATTATGGATTAGATTCAGGTATATAGAGCATGTAGATTAACAGATAGTTGCCTGTTTTTTGAAGTTACTGCATAAGAGTAACTTTTAAAATCAGGTGTCATCTATGCATTTCCGGTTATAATAAGGTACCCTGTGACAAAACTGTGTGATGATTGTGAATGAGCCACAGATTAGAGAGAATTTTTAAACTCTCGTTAACCAAAGAAAGCTAAGAGATTTAGGTTAAATAGCCATATATTCAGTAGCTTCATTATTTTTGTTATGTTTTTAATATAAGCATATTTTACATTTTTAGTGTATCACATCTTATAATTTTATTTATTTATTCATTTATAGTCAGGCAACGTAGGCCCATAGATAGATACCTGAAAGTCTAACATAAATACAGATTATAATGTGTTTATGGAGGTGTTTGGCGAAAAATGTATGGCAATAGACTTTATGATGTCGCCTACCATCAATAATAATTGTCTGAGCACATTTGCATGTAGTGAAAATGATAATGTAGTAATATATTAATACCACAGTGTAATAAAAAAAAATATATTATCGATCTTTACAAAATAGATTTGTTTTTATGTTATTTAAACAACTTCGATCAGTCTTTGGCTGAATGTTACTACACCCATAGCCATTAAAAATGATTCGTATCTTTTCCAAACCGGTAAAATTAAAAGTCCTTTTTAAAGTAAATATATTATACAAAGGTGTCCGTTGAAATCTAATGATTGTAAATTAAATTATAAATGACGCCAAGAATTACCGTATATATCAATATTTTTTGTGCATTTAGGCCAATTTGAGCAATCTCCTTTAAATGGTACCGGACCTATATAAGGCCGGGCCTCCCTGATCTTTGATTCATTTCTACGGTAAAAGTTGCCTACTCAACATTTGATAGCAGCGCCGCCAGCCACCACCACGGCAGACCAAGACCTGAGACGGCTGAACAGGAGCGCTTCTGCCTCCTAGGAGTGCCGCCCGTCTGCCAGCAGCACGTCCTCAATTCTCAACAAAGAAGATCGCCGACGACCCACACCCACTTCCTCTTTACACCCCACACTTAACACACACACCATACCTTTTTTTTATTGTTAATCTGTAAATACTTTATCTTGTAAATATATATATCCGATACTGTTCTTTTGATTTTTCCTTTTTTTTTTCTATCTAGTTTTATTTTGTCGCTACACGACAACTTGCTCGATGTTTTGGATAGGCTACAGCGGCGCGCGATCCGCATCATAGGCGATGAGGAAATGACTAAACACCTCGAGCCTCTTCAATTACTCCGTGACGTGGCTTCACTAAGCGCGTTTTATCGGCTGTATTACGGCGAGTGTTCTGAGGAGTTATTCTCTCTTATCTCTCCCCTTTCCTTCAGAGAACCACGCGCGCTGGCCTACGATGTCACCCTCTAACTGTGGCCACAATTCCAACGCGTACAAAGAAATTCGGTGACTCATTTTTTTGTCGCACTATTCGTAAATGGAATGCTCTGCCCGCTCACGTTTTCCCTCCCTCTTACAAACTGGGATCCTTTAAAAGAGGCGCGAAGACGCAATATGCAGGCCGGCAGTGTGAGGATGGCTGGTGTAGCAGGTAGAACTGCTGTAACAGCAATCTTCGCGCCTGGACTTCACTTTCACTTAACATAAGGTGGGGTGGAGTGATTTGTCGGACCTATCTATAAAGAAAAACATAAGGGGGCAATCTTGCACCTTGTGAAGTACTCCTACCATACCTGAGTCCTTTTTAATGGGTCGAACGTATAGGGCAGCAAAAAAAGTACTGGTCCACTTATTAGTTTTCAGGAAAGCACTTTACTTCAACGAAAGTACGAAGGTTCATAAGGTAATAGGAAACTAACAATAAAAATCAGTTTTACAAAATGGATTTTTTTGTTTATTTATTCTCTTAATCTAATTTAAGTACTTCATAGAATACGGAATGACGGTAAAATATTATATGACCCTGGGTTACAGAAGACAATATTGAGTGGAACATAACTTAAATTTTAAAAATATTCTTATGTTACTAAAGTCACTTAATGTGACTTACATTAAATAAAGTAGGTACAACTGCATCATCAACAGTGACATCAGTACTAAAACTTTGAGGTTAAGATAAATCCAGTCTCATAATGCACTTTGGTTAGCCGGCGCGAAGGTTTATCAAGCATCCGACGTATATACCTGTTAACAAAATATAGGTTAATTAGTTCAGCAAAATAAAAAAAATAGCTATATCATTAGCATAAAAAGGTAATGGAATTCAGAAAGAATAAAGGTGCCGAGAACACAAATACTAAAGAAGTCTTTTTACATTTTTTTTACATTGACCTTTCTGAAAGTAATCTCTTCATAATAATATGACAACACCATGATAATTTAACCTGTGTGGAAACCCTACGGACATGTAGAGCAAGGTGAGTAAAAGTAAACCAATAGAAAAAAACTTCTGTACAACATTTGAGAGTTTGGTGTGGTTTGGCAACAAGTCGTATAAAAAAATTATAGTTTCATTTATTTTCCTGGACAACCCTTCAAATAATGAAAGGGACAACCCTGTAGTCTAGTTTAGAGGCTTTAATTAAATGCACAGATAACTGTATATTTTTATGTAGTTTCGGATCAAATCAAGCGACTCAATTTTAAAATAATTAGCCTCAACCGATTCACATGAAATTTTGCATAGGTAACTTTAAATTCAGTTTGGATGACAATGCATAGTGGATATGGATGACAAATATAATATGGTTTGCTGCGAGGAACATCAATAAAGTGATCTTTTAATTCAATCCTTCATGTTGTCGAAATACTACTGCCTATCTTCTTTTTTTGAGTATATAAATCATCATCACCACCTTAATGTACATACTACTGGGGCACAGGATTTCCTAATAGATGGAATAGGGAAATTAGGCCATGACCCACCATGTGGGTGGGTGGGTCATTGCGGATTGGTGGGTGCTAACGACTGCGTATAAATAAAAGCTTGGGTTTTTTAAACGTTTTCTAAATATTAATTAACCAGTAAAGACTCCACCTTCTTCCTGAGCATGATTGTTGTTCTCGATGTACTGCTGCAGCACGAGGTACAGGAACAGGTACTACTCCTTGTTCTGCACCATGCTGCCGCGCTATTTATTTAACAGTTAAGTCAGTACACCCACCTTATTCCTGAGCATGAGATTGTTGTGTTCGACGTACTGCTGCAGTGTGAGGTACAGGAACCGGTACTGCTCCTTGTTCTGCACCATGCCGCCGCGCTATTAATTTAACAGTAAAGTCATTACACCCACCTTCTTCCTGGCGCATGAGGTTGTTGTTCTCGACGTACTGCTGCAGTGCGAGGTACAGGAACTGGTACTGCTCCTTGTTCTGCACCATGCCACCGCGCTATTAATTTAACAGTAAAGTCGGTACACCCACCTTATTCCTGAGCATGAGGTTGTTGTTCTCGACGTACTGCTGCAGTGCGAGGTACAGGAACCGGTACTGTTGGTTTTTCTGAACCATGCTGCCGCGCTATTAATTTAACAGTAAAGTCAGTACATGTACCTCATTCCTGAGCATGAGATTGTTGTTCTCGACGTACTGCTGCAGTGTGAGGTACAGGAACCGGTACTGCTCCTTGTTCTGCACCATGCCGCCGCGCTATTAATTTAACAGTAAAGTCATTACACCCACCTTCTTCCTGAGCATGAGGTTGTTGTTCTCGAATAATGCTGCAGTGAGGGGAACAGGAACCGGTACTGCTCCTTATTCTGCACCATGCTGCCGCGCTATTAATTTATCAGTAAAGTTAGTACACCCACCTTCTTCCTGGCGCATGAGGTTGTTGTTCTTGACGTACTGCTGCAGTGCGAGGTACAGGAATTGGTACTGCTCCTTGTTCTGCACCATGCCACCGCGCTATTAATTTAACAGTAAAGTCGGTACACCCACCTTATTCCTGAGCATGAGGTTGTTGTTCTCGACATACTGCTGCAGTGCGAGGTACAGGAACGGGTAATGTTGGTTGTTCTGAACCATGCTGCCGCGCTATTAATTTAACAGTAAAGTCAGTACATCTACCTTCTTCCTGAGCATGAGGTTGTTGTTCTCGACATACTGCTGCAGTGCGAGGTACAGGAACAGGTACTGCTCCTTGTTCTGCACCATGTTGCCACGCTATTAATTTAACAGTAAAGTCAGTACATCTACCTTCTTCCTGAGTATGAGGTTGTTGTTCTCGACGTACTGCTGCAGTGCGAGGTACAGGAACCGGTACTGCTCCTTGTTATGCACTATGTTGTCGTGCTAATAATTTAACAGTGAAGTAAGTACACCCACCTTTTTCCTGAGCATGAGGTTATTGTTCTCGACGTACTGCTGCAGCGCGAGGTACAGGAACCGGTACTGCTCCTTGTTCTGCACCATGCCGCCGCGCTGCGCACGCACTACCTTCACCGCCTCGTGCACATCTATGTCACAGTTGAAGCCTGGAACAACCATGGATGGGGGCTAATAAACATACGAGCTGCCTAATGGTAAGCGGATTCCATAGCCTATAGACGTTTGCGATACAAAAATATCACGCACATCGTTGCCTACCCTGACCCATTCTCCTAACCCTTCGAAAAAAACACAAGACCACCAAAAGGTAGTGTTATTTTAATGTGTTTTATCTTTGATTTACTAACGGACCATTCAAGCCATCTAGGTCTGGTCAAATCTGAGAATCTCTGTTAACTCAGTTTCCTAGTCCCATTTAAAACTTAACCATAAATATATCTAATAGACTGAGCGACTCTCGCATGAAGTTAGCTATTTGACAAGTTTTTGAAAACGTTCATACGTTATTTATTAGGTAGTGTATGGTAACTCCATAAAAAATGGAAATTGCGGTTAGCAGAAAAGAAATCTGTTTTCAAAAAGCCGCAGAAACGTTTCTTTAGCAATATGAGGTCTAACAGTCAAGTGACGCACGGCAAACAGTACTAAGTAACTTCACTTCGACAGCATGTTTACAAGCAGGTGACGTTATTTTAGTCTCCGCCTAAGCGTTTTCGGTCACGTGACAATAGAACAAAAAATACTTTTCTATTTTATGTTTTTAATAATATTATATACTATTTTTTGTTCAGAATAGTGAAATCGCTCTCAGTATTCATGTTCGCAAATGCCACTTATTGGTACTTTCTTTTTCATACTGTCAAATAACCTATTGACAACGCTCAAGAATAGAGAAGGACTGGTGCATGGATGATGCAGCTAATATCCAACGAACTATTGGCGCTATCTCAAACTTAATTGCCCATATTTAAATTTGGACTGGGAACGCTCAGTCCATTTCCCATATCTAAAGATTCCACTTCACAGCTATCGCTAGGCCATACTTAAAATGAGGCTAATTTATGCTGAGATTTACGTACTTGAACTTTTTAAAAATTTGTCATAGAAATAAAGAACAGCCGTCCCCGCAGCATGAGCATCACAATTTTAAATTATATCACGTTTTTATCGCGTCTAACTGTCAAATTTCATAGTAATTTGATAATTGAGCGCGACAAAAACGCTTTATATGTATATCATATCGCGGTGTTCATGCTAGAGGGGTAGAGCAGTGCGACTACCTATAGTCCAGTCAATGAAGGCTTAACTTTGCCATTTTGAGTTGATCACCTGCAACCAACGCGAAAACTTCCGCAAGGGTTCGTAGATTAATATACTAAAATTGCAGGGTGCTGCATTGACGGCAAACGGTGAAAAAAAATGCGATATGGTGCAAAAACGAGTTTTTCGTCAATATCTCGCGACTGGCTGGGAAAATAGAAAAAGTTCTTAGTACAAAGTTGTAGAAAATTTAATATCCTACAAAAAAGGTATCAACATATTTTCGCATATCTCCCATAGTTTTTGCACAAAATGAAATTAAAGATGCAAAATAAAAAAAGAAAATATATTGTTAATGTTTTTTTTTTCATTTTTAAACGATTTACGGGTCAAATTCAACAATCTCCACTTACTGAAATATTTAAGGATAAGTTTTCGGCAGTCCACTGAAATGAAAACTGTCTACCGAAATTGTAAAAAGTGACCACCGAAATGATACAGTCAAGAACATCGCCTTTGTAGTAGAAGGGTTCCCTATTTTGAATTTAAATAAATTTCCTTATTCTTTGTAAATATTTTTGTTCATTATTTTTTAATAACAAATTATTAATGAAGAATTAATTAATTTTTACTCCTATTAGTTATTATTACTAATTATAATTATTAATATATACATTTTCAAAATAACGAACAAAGCGCGTTTAGAAAGCGAGAAGTTTATTAGTTAGTAAATCGTCCCCTTAGTGCCAAAACCGATTATCTGCACTTTTCCTCTACTGAACTTTTATAATACCAATCGACCCGTCTCATTAAGATGCATCTACAGGTAAAACCCATTATGCTCTACGACGCATACTTCTTGAAATAGCTAATGAATGAACAGAATAACTGCAAATTATTTCCAAAATCCTTGATTTAAAACCTAATAAACCCATTCAAAACACCTAAGTTTGTAAATGTATTACCGCTGAAACCAAGTTTCGGATTTAAACTCATTTTTCATGTAGACACTTAGAGTAAATATCCTGTGAGTATCCTGTATAGCTTTGACTGTTGTTGACTTGACTGTTTGAATTTTACCAGATATTTTAATTTTACTAGATGAAGTAAAAATTAACAGATCTAAGTCGCTTTTTTTCAAAAACAAATATATAGTATATTTGCATAATATTCGAGGCAATTGAATAAGTTACCGAATTTCTTTTTGTTTTTACTTAATAACTTATATTCAACGCTTTATAAATTACTTCAGCTAAAATCGATTATCGGTGCTTACTCTTTTCTTCCACTATAATTTATTAGCGTTAGACATCGTTACTTTAAAATTTATGCTTCAGCTAAAATCAGCTATCCATGTTTAATCGTCTCTTCCGTACGCAGTTTGCGCGCTAGGGAGTGAGTTGCTCACTTTTATTCATTCATTGTTGAATCGGGCGCTGGGCAACAATGTTATTTTTTTGTTTAATTAATCACTAATAAACATTACTGGGTGAACTATTCTGCGTATTTGGTTTAAAATGATAACTACTAAGAAAGATAACGAAAAATAAACTTGATAAAAAAATTGATTTCAATTTAACTTTAACATTTATTTTTATTTCATCGTGTTCAGCGCAAAATTTGCATTTAAAACATATATTTGCAATATGCAATACATTTTCTTATACATTATCATATAATAAAATTGAAATCTTTTTTTTTTGTCAAGATTATTATATGAAAAAGGAAATAAAAAAATGCCCTCAAAATATTAATTAAATCCCAATGAAGCATGTAGAGGCGAACTCCCCAAGAAAAAAAATACACGACATTGCTCAGAGAGGCAGTGCAATGTGCTAATTTATGACTTTTTTTTTAGTTAAGTAAGTACTTCTCAACCTTTACAAAAAGAATTACTGAGTAATGAGCTCTATTCCATAAAATAAAAAAATACGAAGTGGCATTTTATCATCACGGTAACCTGTCTTAAACCCAATTCCTCTCGTAAAATTGCTTCCCCTGTAGTTACATTTATATTTTCGATTGAAATTAACTTTTATATCATTAATATATAATAAAGCCTATCAACAAAACCTACTACTGTTTATTTACCTTCTTCCTTATACATGTAACAAGCACTCAATTTTTGTCCTGGAAAAAGTTATCATTTCCATGGACAGTAAGTTTTTGTGAAATAGGTTCGTCTACATTGGGTTGTTGTGTCCCGCTTGTCAGTGCTCACTTCGTGCCAGTCCGCCATCGCTGGAGCACACGCACGCGCAATAACGTCATTGTGGATTCCCGCCAAATAGTAAGTACATCATTTCAGTGATATGAGGACAATTGATTCGGTGGACAGTAATGCCGATAAGAGTCCAGGGAATGAAAGTATCGCCAAAATGATACATCCATAAGTTTTTAGAGATCCTTGAGTCAATATAGGTATATGAAATAGTTTCGGTTTATTATGTACATTTATCTAGATACTGTAGGTTCGATATTTCGGATGCAGTAGTATTTCTATTTAAAATATCTAGTTTAAAAATGTATATTAAAGTTAAAGCGGACGAATTCGTTGGCGGCCGATAGTATTCCTAATTAAATAAGTGTAAAAAATCAGTATTATTCATCTGCACTTGACTCGCTTACACATGATGAGTCATCAGAATGGTTTCTGAAGGAAAACGATCAGATTGGCTTGTTTCTGTAGCCAAAGATCTGTATAATCCATGGTACTCTTCAGATATGACACCTTTGTTGCACCAATCATCATGATCTTTTTTCTATGCTATAGATTTTTTTTAATAAATAGGTTCGACAAATGACTCCACTAGAGGTTAGGTGATGGAGGAATCTAGACGCGAAGATAGCTGGTACAGCAGTATTACTTGTCACACCAGCTATCCTCATTTTGCCGACCTGCAGAATTGCTACTTCACACACGTAAGAGGACAAAGTAATTCATTTGCGGATAGTCTGACAAAGAAATGAGTTACCAAATTTCTTTGTTCACGTTGGAATAGTGGGAATAGTAGTTCACAGTAAGTCGGTGACAACGTAAGCCAGCGCGTGTAGACTTCTGTAGGAAAGGGGAAGGTAGGTTAAGGGACAATAACTCCTCAAAACATGCGCCATGGTATAGACGATAAAACACGCTTAATAACGCCACATCACGGCGTAATTGAAGAGGCTCGAGGAGTTTAGTCACCTCCTTATCGCCTATAATGCGGATCGCGCGCCGCTGTAACCTATTCATCAAAAAAGTACTTGGCGGAGCCATCCTCTGGGGTGCGAACAATATTCCACGCAAGACCTTACTTACGTCATGTACAACAAGCACAGCTGCTCAGGCGTGAAAAAACGTTAGTTTTACTGTGAAAGCGCAGACCTGGGCTTTCTGGGCAATGAACTCAATCAAGTTCTTGGTACCGCATTCCGAAATGCGGTCGAAATCTTGATTGAGTTCAATGACAAGATTCTAATGTTTCTCTTTGGTTTCTACCTGTCCAGCGGCTGCGTATCCAAAGTATCCCGCATGCACTGTATTATCGTCTGCAAAGCAATGAATATTCTCAAGAGGAATTAAATCATTGAATGCAGCAGAGTAGGGGATAGGACGCAGTCCTAAGAAACACCGGCATTCACTGACATGAACTGCGAACTACATCCGTCGCCGTCCGTTGACGCTCATGCAGGAAGTCAGCCACTCAGGCACAGAACTGAGTAGGCAGACCGTATCCAGGAAGCTTGGAGAGAAGACTTATGTGCCAAACCCTATCAAAGCCTTGGCAATGTTAAGGCTGATAGCCAAAAACTCACCTCGCTTATCGATTGCCTCACCCCAGATATATGTCACCTGTCAATCGATTCGGTCTATCCTCTTTTACTTGCCTCAAATATAACGCAAACATATTATGTATATTTCTATGCAAAAAGCGACAGATTTGTTAGTTTTTACTTCATCTAGTAAAATTAATCAAGAACTTTGGAAATAATTTGCAGTTATTCTGTTTATTCATTAGCTATTTCAGGAAGTATGCGTCGTAGAGCATAATGGGTTTTACCTGTAGATGCGTCTTAATGACACGGGTCGATTGGTATTATAAAAGTTCAGTAGAGGAAAAGTGCAGATAATCGGTTTTGGCACTAAGGGGACGATTTACTAACTAATAAACTTCTCGCTTTCTAAACGCGCTTTGTTCGTTATTTTGAAAATGTACATATTAATAATTATAACTAGTAATAATAACTAATAGGAGTAAAAATTAATTAATTCTTCATTAATAATTTGTTATTAAAATATAATGAACAAAAATATTTACAAATAATAAGGAAATTTATTTAAATTCAAAATAGGGAACCCTTCTACTACAAAGGCGATGTTCATGACTGTATCATTTCGGTGGTCACTTTTTACAATTTCGGTAGACAATTTTCATTTCAGTGGACTGCCGAAAACTCATCCTTAAATATTTCAATAAGTGGAGATTGTTGAATTTGACCCGTAAATCGTTTAAAAATGAAAAAAAAACTAACTATATTTTGTTTATATTATTTTGCATCTTTAATTTCATTTTGTGCAAAAACTATGGGAGATATGCGAAAATATGTTGATACCTTTTTTGTTGGATATTAAATTTTCTACAACTTTGTACTAAGAACTTTTTCTATTTTTCCAGCCAGTCGCGAGATATTGACGAAAAACTCGTTTTTGCACCATTTCGCATTTTTTTGAAGTTATACTTCTTTAGCCGCGTTATGAAAAAATTATGAGAGTGAAATTTTAAGATGCGCGCGCATCACTGTAACACAAAAGTAACATAATGAAGTTAGCCGCGGGCGCGTTATGAAAAAATGATGAGAGTGAAATTTTAAGATGCGCGCGCAACACTGTAACAGAAAAGTAACACCATGAAGTCGGCCGCTAAACCGCATATTACTCGTAAGTCTCGAAAAAAAGCTTCCAACAAAATAGTAATAGGATCTCTTAGTCGCACATGTTGGGACGCTCGTCGCCTCTGATCACTGTTTTCATATTTATAATATTTATTATTTAATAAAACTGTAAGAATGTGCGGGAGGGCGAAGGGGGAGTACTGATACTGACGTCAAATAAAGATAGGCGTAGGTAGAAAATACTTATATTGTGATTACTATTCAATATTTGTAGGAGAAATGGTATTACTGTATCCCACAAGGGTGAAAGTACATGTATACTATTATCAAGACACTAAGACGTCCCACGTGGTGGAAGCGTATAGCGTGCAAGACAATAGGCCCTACCTACGAAGCGATGACTGGGTCAATTTCCCCAGAACACCTTATACAAGTGGTGTCAGTATAGTATAGCACGATTCACATGCGTACAGCGCCATCTAGTAGCGGCCGGCGTGATGATATTTGATCCTATGATGTGCCATACAATCGGTGTCGGTATAGGATAGCGCGATTCACATGCGTACAGCGCCATCTAGTAACGGGCGGCGTGATGATATTTAATACTATGGTGTTACAAAAATAATGATGGATTATTAACCACTTAGTGGTTAATAATCCACCATTATTAGACATCTGTTCGAAAGGTACTTTGAACGATCCACGGAGCTCCATAAGATGATCGCGTTGTCAAAAACAATGTTGGCACGCTCGTCGCCTCTGATCACTGTTTTCATATTTATAATATTTATCCACATGTTTCTAGTTTCTATATAGACACAACGTGTTTTAGTTACTTACAAGTGCTAATTACATATGGACTAATAACTTAAATTCAGTAGTGATTTTAATTGAATATTTTGAATATTTATTTAATTTTTCAAATTAAAACTGAACTTAATTGACTGTGTTAACTATCCTTTTCCAGTCCTTTTATTATTTTATTGTAATTATTAATTATTTGCATGCAATTAAAAAATATTTTTAATGATGCTAAAGAAGTATAACTTCTCACGCGCGTACATAAGTTACACGCATCCATTTTTTTTTCATCGTTTGCCGTCAATGCAGCGCCCTGCAATTTTAGTATATTAATCTACGAACCCTTGCGGAAATTTTCGCGTTGGTTGCAGGTGATCAACTCAAAATGGCAAAGTTAAGCCTTCATTGACTGGACTACTAGGTGTTTGTCGCGAAAATAACAATAGAAATAACATGAAAGTTTCTATGTGAAAACAAAAGAAGAACTTAAGCTAGTAATAGGCTAGTTTACTCATGTCGAATTGTAATATATAAATGTTTATTTCTTAAAGTATTTAGTCTAAGGAACCTTAATATATCGATTTCACTTCATAAAAGCAGAAGATTGCTGTAGAAATTTAATTTAAAAAAATATTTTTTAGTCTATATTTTTTAAACACTAAAAACGCTGTTCGCCACATCCGCCATGATTTTGACGTCTCTTGTGGTAAACAACTAAATGTCATTCGCGTGTTACTGTAGGTGGATTTTTTCGTCTGACTAAATTTATCTTAAAACACTTTTAACTTTAGGAAAGAAAAAATCAGTTTTTTGACAAAACTAATTATGGAACTAATTGTGAAAGCAGAAAGCACAAATCTGCCAAGAATTGACGCATTGATGGTTGGTGAATTTGTTGCACTAAACCCCGATTTCTGCTCTGCGGAGCAGAGAAACGACAAGGCATCTATGTAAGTACAGTGCATTTAGTATTACAATGTAGTAATAAACATAAAACTGATACAACATATGAATAAGTGTAATAAAGTTGCGTAGGTTAATTTCTTTCGGCACTTTAATCCACAACTTTCCTGGAGTCTTCAAGGATGTGTTTTTATATTCTCGTACAATACAGTAATGATAATTACTTTATTTTTCGTGGTATTTATTAGAAATCAAGTTTTTTTTTATTATAAACTCAGTTAAAAGTAATTCTACGTGTTTACGAGTTTTTGTTTACCACAGTTCACGTCATAGCATAGATAATCTATAGACTAAAATGGCCGACAGCGTTTTTGTATGTCCATGAAAAATCTATTTTAAAATTAAAGATTTGTAGCTTTCTAGGTTAAAAAAAAATATAATACATTTTTTTTCGGTCTAATAGAAGATTAATTAACCATTTAAAACCTTTTTCCAAAAAGGGTCAACTAGCCTATTACTAAAGCATAGATTTGTGCTTATCTAACAGCTTGCAGTTGAGACAACTATTCAAATGATTTATGTTATAATATAACATGGTAATAACTGCAAAAGAAATTCACTGTTACACATATTTTACGCTAAATAAATAGGCACACGATAAATGTGTGGTAACATAGTTTGAGTACATCATTAGTACATATATTGGATTGTACTTAAATTCTTTAAAGATATAACTAAGAAGTAGGTAGTTAGCGCGATCAGTCTCTTCTATCTTGGAAGATAATAGGTATGCAACTTTCGCAATGGCCTGTTGAACATAGACTAGACAGATTAGGTGAAAAAAATTAAGAGGTTGATTCCAGTTGCATCCGCAGTCGTATATCCATACATTTTTTGCCAAACACCTCCATAAACACATTATAATCTGTATATATGTTAGACTTTAAGGTATCTATCTATGTATGGGCTTACGTTCCCTGACTATAAATTAATAAATTATTAAAATTATAAGGTGTGATACACTAAAAATCTAAAATATGGTTATCTTAAAAACATAACAAAAATAATGAAGCTACTGAATATATGGCTATAGAACCTAAATCTCTTAGCTTTCTTTGGTTAACGAGAGTTTAAAAATTCTCTCTAATCTGTGGATCATTCACAATCATCACACAGTTTCTGTCACAGAGTATTTTATTATAACCGGGAATGACACCTGATTTTAAAGGTTACTCTTATGCATTAACTTTAAAAACAGGCAACTATCTGTTAATGTACATGCCTTATATACCTGAATCTAATCCATAATTTCGGTACTTGGCTTGATTTCCCTAGTTTACTATATAACTTATTTGTTTTTTATTATTTTAATATGTTCAGTGTATATGGTTTATAGAAGTTCTCAGGGGTGTCCGTCAATAATATTCGTTTCTACAGTAATTTATATATAATTTCAAATCTAGGAAACAATTTTTCATGATTATTGGTCTTTAGGTCAAACATGTATGGAAGCTGAGCAATCTCCTTTAATGTTCACTTCGCTTTTGCTTAGTCGTAAAAAAAGTCAAAGACACAGCAATATTGAGCAAAATTGCATGAGCATTCAAGTTTCATAGGTTGCAGTTGCTGATGGAGTGGCTATATTGGTGATGATGCCAAAAAACATTCCTGTAATTGTTTAAAACCAAATAAAATCGCAGTAGCTAATATACTCATTATTTAAGTCCATATTTCAGCATAACTGAATAATATAAAATAAAAATTAAGGTTACTAAATCATCATGTAGTTCTCACCAGATGTTTTGATCTTGTCAATAAGCATGTCGAGGACGATAAATGTACCAGTTCGACCCACACCCGCGGAGCAATGCACGCAGACAACATTCTGGAAATAAAACATCATTAAAGATTACATAATATACTTTTAGATGTTAGACAAAAGACAAATGACAATCATGAACGAAAAAATATAGTAAGAGGCATGGTAAGTCTATCTAACGAATTGCAATAAATATTTGTGAAATTATATAGTTTACACAGCTAAAATAAAATATGTTAGTTTAAGATATATGATATAATAAATGTTTTGTTCATATCACTCAAGTTAACGTTTACCACGTTGACTCATATGATCGTCAGCGTCGTCCATCCAATTTTGACAAATATTTTTAATAGCGTAAAATAGGACCTGATATGGTGAAGTTTACGATAGACCATTTTTTTATTTTAAAAGTACTCCCTTATTTGTTTAGGATGACCTAATCGATAGGTGTTTTTTAAGTTATCCTTGATAGACTAAGGCCTGTATTATAGAAAGATTCTCAGTGATTGATCTAGTCTTGAGCATAGTTAGAAAGAGATCTCGCTATATATAGCACATAACGACATCCCTTTCCAACTGTACTCATGTAAAGATTAGTTGTCATTCTGTAATACGGGGCTTAATAGTCTGAGACGTTTTCATTACTTCTAAACATTATTATCTGAAAATATTTGTCATTTTAAATGTGCTTTCGTTGTATCGTACGAAAAATATTGGAATTTAGTCCCTATTTCAATGTTAAAGAACAAGGCAACGGTCAATTCATTTGTAGAATGACTTCCATATACTACTATCGCTTGAAGATGTAACTGGAAAGTCTTACAGCCAGTTATTAAAATTTTTAATTTACCTGTTCTGGTGGATTTTTATCAAGCTTTATTTGTGTATTTCTTCTGTTGATATCGTATATGAAATTGAGGACGCCATCTGGTTCCGCCGGTGTTCCATGATCAGGCCATGCCTGAAATAATCATAAACACATTGAAGAGTTTACCTTACTTTTTCTAAGAATTATGAGGATCTTAGTAATAAAATTATCGAATAGAATGGAATTTAAAGAAAAACAGACAATTAACGTTTATCATAGAAATAGGGTAGTTACAGCTCAGAACAATTCTGTCATGATGAACACACTGACGTTACGTTTACGGCAGTCATTCTTACATAGCCTTAAATAAAATTTATTCGTGACTAACGACGCGTGTTATCAAAATGAACAGTGGTAAGTTTAAGTCCATATTTTGGAGGGTGCCGTACTTCTGGCGACAATATTATCAATTATACCATTACCATCAGTCCACTGCTAGACTATTTTTCCACACACATTATCTATATCGTGATCAACATTACCGTGAACTGGTACCAGTATACGGTCCGGCAACAGTCCTGGTCGGTGATGTCCAGCTCACCGAGCATGTAGTTCTCGTAGTAAGTCGCCGAGGTCATCCTCACCACCAATGTTCGAGACCTGTCCTTCTGAGTCACATGTTTTATATCGTGATGGTCAACATTACCGTGAACTGATACACGGTACTGGTACACAGTCCGGCAATAGTCCTGGTCGGTGACATCCAGCTCGCGTAGCAGGCAGACGTCGTAGTAAGTCCCCAAGGCGGTCCTAACCACCGATTATAGAGATCTTTCCTCCTGAGACCATGTTTTATATCGTGATGGTCAACAAACATTACCGTGAACAGGTACCAGTACACGGTCTGGCAACAGCCCTGGTCGGTGAGGTCCAGCTCACGAAGCAGGTAGTCCTCGTAGCAGATCTCCAAGGCGGTCCTAACCACCAATTCTAGAGACCTTTCCTCCTAAGTGACATGTTTTATATCGTGCTGGTCAACATTACCGTGAACTGGTACACGGTCCGGCAACAGTCCTGGTCGGTGACGTACAGCTCGCGGAGCAGGTAGTCCTCGTGGTAGGTCTCCAAGGCGGCCCTAATCAGCAATTCTCGAGACCTTTCCTCCTAAGTAACATGTTTTATATCGTGATGATCAACATTACCGTGAACTGGTACTGGTACACGGTCCGGCAACAGTCCTGGTAGGTAACGTCCAGCTCGCGGAGGAAGTAGTCCTCGTAGTAGGTCTCCGAGACGGTCCGCACTACCAACCCTCGGGACCTCTCCTCCTGAGTCACGTGTGGCCAGTAACGCTCGCATTTTTTCTGGGAACATTATTTTGACCGTCCAAAGTTACAATTTCTTAAATTATTATTTTCTACTGAAGCCGGCTGGTGATGATTTTTTTTATATAATCTGCTGTGTAAAAAAATTAATGGGACAGCTGGTGAAACAGCATGAAGTATCAGCAGCAAAAAGCAGTACTTTTCATGTGTGTATCAGGTAGTTACTTAACAACGATGACCGGACTTTGTTTTTGAAGTTATACTTCTTTAGCCGCGTTATGAAAAAATTATGAGAGTGAAATTTTCATCACTGTAACACAAAATTTTAACATAATGAAGTTAGCCGCGGTCGCGTTATTTGTAATATTTTATTTTCCAAGTGACCGTGGGGCAGATTTGAACAAAGCAAACAGGGCAGATTTGAACGGGACATTGAAATGAAATGAAATGAAATGAAATTTATTCAGTCTAGGCAATTACAAGCACTTGTGAAGGTCAAGAACACAACGTGTTTAATTGTAGATTTTGAATATTTATTTAATTTTTCAAATTAAAACTGAACTTAATTTACTGTGTTAACTATCCTTTTCCAGTCCTCTTATTATTTTATTGTAATTATTAATTATTTGCATGCAATTAAAAAATATTTTAATGATGCTAAAGAAGTATAACTTCTCACGCGCGTACATAAGTTACACGCATCCATTTTTTTTTTTAAATAAAGTCCGTTCATCGTTGCTCGGATCTTTTTCTCATGCACTTTTGCTATAAGTGTATTTAAAAAATAGGATTTTTTAAAAGACTGTTTTGGCGTCATTGATCAAAACAAACGTCCTATTGTTTCACCTTTATTAGAAAGAACAGCCGTTCAGTTCAATTAATATTATAATTCATAATATCATACCTTCCCTTTTTCCATTTCATTTGTGATCATGACAATTATTCTTACATCTTCTTGCCATATCATCCGCCAGAAATCATCCTTTGTATTCGAAAGACAGCCTTGTGCGGCGATATATATTTTGTCTTTTACTGGAAAACAGAAGATAAACATTTTTATTTAGTTATCTGAGTACAAAATACATATTACGGCAGTCAACTAGATTTTGGATCTAATGAAATGATGATGATTGGGTCGCTATTTCTAAGCTAATCCCAAAAGTAAATAGTAAACTCACTTTAAAGCAAAAACGAAAATCTTATTGAGGTGAATATTGTCATTTGTTTGTGCTCTTGCAGCAATTTTGCTAAATGTCAATTTGACTGAAACTAGATTTAGACACACGACGACACTAACACTCGACACAAATGTCGATTGCATCCACACGGTAAGCAATTTTTGGTGTTGATAGTAGTGTAAACATCCAGTGTCCCCTTTGAAGTGTTTTGGCTGACTGTCGCACGTCCTGTCTCCACGGCTTCGACACGGGCACTGTGAGCAACATCGCCACTACATCTGCAACTAAGTGTCGCGGCAGTGGAAACACAGAGACAGTGATGTATACACTGAGTGTCTAGTGTCTGGTGTCGTAGTGTATCTGATCCATAAGAACTTACTAACATAATTAGAATCATAACTTCTTGTAGGTAATGTGTTATTCGGTAGTAACTTATGTTCAATCACAAAGTTCATATGCCAAAGTCGTGCGTGATCAGTTAAGTACTCACCTACGTCACTTACTATGTTGCCGTTGATTTTGTCCATTTTGATGCTTTTCTTCACCTCCCGGAGTGCATCATCGGAAAGAGATTTGGTCACCAAAGGAGCTATTTTCTTTGATTCACTACGAAGGACTAGGGCTGAAAAAATATATTAAGAAAATTTTATTTCTTTTTTTTTACATGAACTTCATGATTTATCAAAACAAATAATTATGAATGATTAGGTAAACTTTTGAAGACTGAATTAAATACCATTCTATTTTTTTGTTTCAATGTAAAGTAAGTGCTTTAAGTATATAAGATTTGTAAAATATACGTACTTTCTATTTTTAACTAAAAACTAAAGATAACATCGATTGTTTTTTATATATAATAGATTATGAATCCATTTATCATTAGCGCAACAATTTCAATGTTATTTTTTATTATTATAAAACGAACACAAGGTTCTTAGAAGGTTCTTAACAAATTCTTATAACTTTTGGTTCCTGTTGAAGTTAAGAGAAGAACAATATAAAAGTTCCTCATGAAAGCCCCAGCACTGTATTTTTTTATTTGTTTGTAAAATCAATGGCATTAAGGAATATTTATAAGCGTATTTTTGACACAAGTCTGAAGTTATCGGATGCAGGAAAATCCTGTGTTGCGAGGAGCTATAATTTATTGCACATTATTATGTAACAGTGTCACTTCTCAAATACTAAGTCACATGTCGAGTACAGGTTTGCATGTGGCACGGCACAGATAATATTGATAGGCCGGCGGGGATTTTCCTCCGATTACCTTTATATGCTGGTTGACCTAGGGGGAATCACTTTTTCCGAACATCTTCATTTCTGTATTTTAGAACGAATTTGGGGAAAATATTTTTCTCCATGCGTCCTTTTTTTAGATTGTCGGTAAAACTTAAATGATTTGATATCATCAATCTGCTAAGTGGCATGTTTATATTTATAACTTATGTTTAACACTGGGTCATAGCTATAAAATATATTGCCGCTCTTGTAATTATTAATTCACTTCACCCTTATGAATACAAATACCTTATAAATTCATAAAGACTAATACGAATAGTATAAATACTACTGTAGCTTATACGTAATCGTATTCAATTTAAATCACTTTACGGCCGAAACTGCGATTTGTTCCATTTAATTCAGACATGAACTCTTTAGCTTTGATCATAAGGTCGGGCTTGTCGTCTTTACATTATGAATTTTTGTATTCAGATCCCGTTTTCCCGATTGAATTTAGCATTCATATGACGTTTTTGATGTTTTCCTTATCTGTGCCGAAAAATAAACTTTATACTAAGTACTCGACGTTCCAACTGAGCAGCAAATGTCTGGTCAACGAATAACTTCGTCGAGTTAATAGTTTTAAACTAGTTCCGCGTGGGACACGCTTGCTAGTAATGTTTGACACCTACGATTTTCTTGATATAAATAGGCTTACATTAGATGTAAAGCAAAAATGGAAAACTGAGTAAACAACTGAGTACTTAGCTAGATAATAAAAATATTCAAAGTTATATGTTAAGTTTGGGAATCTTTATTGTATCTGTTAATATAAAAATTCTCGCAAGCAAATAAAACTTTAGTTTGGCTCGCAGGCATGTTATGATTTTTGATGTGTAACATCTTTCCTCTCACTTTCCTGCAATTTGTGGGAGTGATTTCACGAAATAATCTATACCAATATAATATAATAATAAAAACCTAAAAACACAGTACACAGTTTTGTTTCATACTTAGGGTAAATACAATTATTGATACCAAGAGCGTCTAACATTTAAATATCGAATAGTGGTTAAGTTTCTTCTACTGTAGTACCTAGACTAGATAGCCTAGGCCAGGCCTCTGGTCTATTAAAATTGCATATTATCATAATAATTTTTCTTGCATAAATGATAATGATGTGCATTGTCTCGTTAATTAGTACCTTAGCTACAGCGATAACGTGATAGGGGTTAAAAGGTTCGAACATTTGAAAGGACAATGTTAAAATTGGCCTAAGAACCAACACCAATTTGGTATTTATGATAATTCTTAGTATATTTTTTGCGATAATTATCAGTATTTAGATTGTGACGGACACTTCCAGTTAAGTAACCTAAACTAAAAAGTTAAAAAATAATCTGAGACAATAAATACCATTTTATGTGTATAATCTATGGCAGCACTGCAAACAAAACAGTCTTGCTTCCTAATGCCGGCACTTCACTTGGCTATTCGTATTTGCTATTTTAAAACACGACATCAGTCAGTCCTTTTCATTCCTTATTAAGCATGACAATTGCAAACTATTGTGAAAAGTGAAGGGCCGGCATAAAACTTTACTCTGTGGTTGTGGTGCATGCAGTTTGCATTCGTAGTAATCTGTGGTATTCGTGTATTCCAAAATTTCCAAAGAGTAGTATAATACTATTATAATGTAGCGGAAAGTGCATTCCCATTCTCATTTGGGATTACCTGTTGTGTGTGTTTATTTGCGATTGTTTTGCCTTTAATTTAACTATTTCGGTTATCTAATATGCCATCGTTGTTACCAAAGAGCAGAGCCCTTGTTACCAAGTGCTAGTGAACCTGTGCCACGACATCCTGAGAGGATCATACTGCCAAATTATTCAAGAACACCTGGTACACATTAACGCTGCAATTTACACAATATACATGTGATATACAAATAAATACAATAAACAATATGATACAATTATGTGAAAAATAGTCAATAAATAAGAAGCAAAACTACAGTTTTTATTTTATTCATGATTCCTACCTAACCAAGTTTTTCCTAATAGTTATTCTATAAAATCGCACCGAATAAAATGAATTAGTTGTAATATTAATTCACTTCATACTGAGTTCATACTAAATTCATAGGTTGGTCTATGTTTCATTGAATATTAAACATAACCTCAAAGAAAATATGTTTTCCTAATAGTTTAAGTTCTCAGAAGTGTCCGTCAATAATCTTTGTTTTTACAGTCATTTACTTACGAATTTGAACCTATAAAATAATATTTAATGATTGTTGGTTCTTAGGCTAACTATGTATGGACGCTGAACAATGTCCTTTACTATCACCTATATTTGCAATCCTTGAATAATACATATATTATAGTATTGGGAAAACCAAAATCGTCATTGCATGTTGAGTCAAGAAACATCAGACAACGCTGTTACAAAGATGTTGCATGACAATACACTTAAGCGGATTGAAATTCACATGATAGTAATACACTTCAATAATTTATTTACATTGATCCCACAGAAATATCCATTTCGTGTATTATTTTTTCCATCGCAAAAATCTTAGTTTTTTTAATTATTTTGTACCAAAATTAAGGTAGGCAAGTCAATGAATATATCTCCAACTGCTGGACTTATTTTGGTTAGTTTTTGTGTGCGTTCTTGTAAGAGGCTTAGATTCACTTCACAACTTGACCGGTCTTGTACCCACTGGAACATCAAGTTTCGACCCAAAAGTAACAAGTGCCTCTATAGCACATCATGAACGTAGCCAATTCATTCTTCTAAAATATTCAATAAGCCCATTGGACCTCTTTTTTTAATTCGTCTGGTACCCATTGGACCTGCAAAATTAGACCCTACTACCACTGTACCGACTGGATCTTATTTGGATGCCCCATGCGACCTCCCTAAAACATTATATTGGAAGTGCAATTACTAGGTGGCGCTGCTTGTTAGATCCTAGCGTCATACTATTTTTGTCAACAGCGGCAAATTTTCCGACACGGAAGTTACAATAAGGAAAACTATTATTTTTGTAGGTGTTGTACCGCCGTGCACAATTGACGTGCACTATTAATGGTGCAGATTGAACCGAAACTATTTTGTTTCGGTTTTTTATATGTCAGTTGTTACTCCGTGTTGTACTTACGCGTGGGTATTTGTGTACGTGTTAGCTTAAGTACGTACACGGGAGGACTTAGTTTTATCCAGTGCCACCTTTTTTGTGCGCAGCTCTCCATCTGTTCTTTTTTATTTGATCTGAGCCAATAATATTAAAACGACTATTACCCCTTTCTTTTCTCGTCATCAGAAAATGCATGCCGAATAAACAAATAAACGCCAAATCCTCGATTATGTGCAATAAAAGTTTCACTCATTTTTATTTCCAAAATTTACTCCAGTTAGATAAAATTGTAAAATTTAAATTAACTTCAACATGCAATGAGAAATTCCAAACCGAATTTATGGTATGAGTATCATCACAATGATGCAGATGAAAATGTCTATAGGTACTGTGGTTCGTTTGCCATATTAATGGTGCAAACGAAACTAATCAGTTTCATCTGACAGTGCAAGTCAATTGTGCACTCGGTACAACGGGTTTTTATAAACGTTCAATAACTCACAATGCACACTGTTCAAACTTTCGTTGGACGACTGCACGGAGCTGCTCGAGTCGTACAGTCTCGAGGTTCGGATGTAATTGGCATTTATATAGTCCGACTCCTCCTTGTCCCGCTGACGAAGTATCACACGCGTTTGATCATCTGGAAGAAGTGCACAACATTGTATTTCCTCGAAGTGCCGTTAGGACATGGGTAAAGGTTAGTTATCGATAAATAGGCTAATTTAACTTTGCTGGCATAACGGCAGGTTTGCAGTGTTAATATATTAACTACAACTAGTGTTAAAAAAAAACTAAAATTATTAATTTTAGTTATAAATAAAATACCAACACTGCAAACTTGTAAATCATAACTTACTGGACAAGTCCCGACAAGACATCGTCTGGGCCACAGAACACAAGCTGGGTAGAATAGTCGATTGCAAATATAAAATTTTATTATATGATTAGCAGATATCGATTTAAGACTCTATTTTGGACTAAAGCACAGTCGTTACACTAAATGTCTACGTTAAAGTCATGTAATCTAATGCTTAGGGGAAAACCATCAATCGAACATTGGTCGTCACATGCGAGACGCCAATCACCACAAAAAATTGGCGTTATGTTTGTTTTAAATAGATACTATTTTGAAAGATGTCTCGATTACCCCACCTGGGCAGGTCTCCCGTTCCTCTCCTACTAATCGCTTTGAAAATTTCAATTTGCCGCGTGTTCGACTGGGTCCTTTGAACATCGTCTTAAGAAGACGATGACGAGAAACTAAGTAGACGTAGCAAACAAAAAATATAAAGCATTTATGAAAATGTATATTAATTTTGTTCCTTTCTTGTGTTTATGTTTAATATTGTTTCTACTTACACGGTAATATGTTTCTGTATCTGTTCTTGTTCACGTTCTCGGGTTTCTGGCCCTCGATGGTGGTGAAAACGTGCCTTTCCTCTAGCATCTTGAGTGTGAAGAACTCGCTGTCGAAACCAGCCTTGTTGTCCATCTTCTGGCTGCCATCAATTTCCTGCAAATAAATCGCATATGTAACCTTAGTATGAAGAGGAATGATTTGTATTTTTTTAACGTATAAACTCAATAACAAATGGATCGATTTCAAAAATTCTTCGTCATTATAAAGCTACATTCCTGTATTGCGTTAAAATCAATTTCACCCGCGCAAAGCCGGAGAGGATCGATATTTTTATACGTAGTCCTATACTTATCAGTTTTACTAACTACCTATACGAATCACCCCACCTAATGTATAAACTGTGAGCACAGTTCGAAAACAGCTTCAGATTTTGAGATAGATTTTGAAGATCCCATTGTGCCAAATTCAGAGCCATTACTAAAGAATATTAGCTTTTCTAGTTTTTCTCTCCGTACGACTTAAGTTCGTAAATGAGATTGTGGTCGTTACTAACTACAGACGTATAAACTTATTTTTCTTATTGTAGTTACGATTTTAGAATTTGCAAAATTATTTACTATTAAAGAAACACCGCTTTCTTAATATTATTGATAATGGTGCTACTACCTAATACAAGGAAAGAGCGGGGAACAGATACGCAGTCAGAGAAATGACTTTCACGTAGCAAAAGTTTTCCCGAAGGCGTCTTTGAGAAGATAAACATAGGGCCGTTTTACAAAGTAACATTTTTTAGCTTCGTTTACCTTTACACATTTTTCAGTGGTAGAACTGTATTGTTGCGAATTAAACGGAGGTTATGGAAGGTGTTCCTTAGATAATAACTATAACTGTTCTGCTGTAAACTTTCCATTAGAACTAGCAGCTATTGGAATGCAGTTCATGTGACGGGGCACAGCAGACACGTGTTCGAAAATGACATGGACCAATCTCACTTTATCTGTTCGTGGTGCAGTGCAGTCGTTAAAACATTACAAAACTTCCTGGTACTTTTAATTTCAATACTATCGTTAAATATAAGTGACTAACATTAAAGTCATGGAGGTTAGAAAGACATGACTAAACATTCATCTAATTTATAAGCTGGGTTTAACTTGTTTATATAATTCTAATCTGTGTATGTTGTCAAAACTTTTGTTTATTTTTGTTTTAAATAAAACAAAAGAAATACCTGAATTTGCCAGTCGTATTTTTTTATAGGTACTCTGCCAACCCACCAACACTAGCGTTTTCAATTTCTAAAAAATCTACTCGGGAGGATGTAAACAAAAGAAAGGATCGGTGGTTTTATTTAATTCACTTCAACTTGATAATTGGATAAAAAAACGACATGACGCTGAGTCACAAACAAGTATTGTATTAGTAAAACTAAATTGAATTTCATTTGTCTTGTAGTTTTGTGTTTATAATAAATACAATGTGTAATTTAGTATGTGTACTACAGAAACACATTTTTTTTCTATTCGTGTGCAAAATATTATTGAAATTCTATCTTCTGTTTTTATTTTAATAAGTATAAAATGTTGAAACATACAATCTTTCACATTATTTATTATAAGGATTCTTAAGTAATCAGTATCCTACCCACCAATCCGCATTGAGCCCGCGGGGTAGGTCACGTCGTGTCGTGGGCTACCATAAGGACGGCCTGTGCCCCAGCCGTGGGGACATTAATAGGCTGATAACTGAAAATGGTGAATATGAGAAAAATTCTACAGATTTAATTAGTGACAATTATCAGGATTTACTAACTTTATAGAACCGTCTCTGTACCCATAAAAACGTTTTCTATAAAGCTGCAAATGAATTTTTGCATTTCCACATCGGGAGCGATGAGAGAACGTCTACAAAAATACAAATCGATAAATAATTAGATCGAGAGCATGTTACTTGCCACGTGACGCGCTCGCCACAGCCACCGCCGTCTCGGCCTAGGATCTTAGCGGCACGTAATGTTTTATTCAACCGCTTGTAACAGCATTACAAATAACTCGCCTCATTTATCATACTGATGGGATAATTAAATTTACCATTGCTGCACACTACAAATTGCTTGGGAGCAGGTAACTCGATTAAAATCATTGGAAAAGAATCCGTTGAGTACCTATTAATCTACTTACACCAGTACCCGCACGTAAGTAACTATCACGTAGCCGTGTGATCGTGTTTGTTTTTTGACGTGAATTCGATGATGGTGTCCTTCACCATCCCAAACGGGATTTAAAAAATATGTAAGTATTATATCAATCTATCCTGTTACTACTTTTCGTAAAAAAACTTTTACTAAATTTTAAGGCTTTTTTAGATATTTCGTACACTTTTGGTTACGCGTAAAACTATTCCACGCAAATCATATGTTCGTGCTGCATTCCAATCTCCGGTTCTCCCGCTGAACACGCTGTGACCGTGGCTGGTTTATGTATTTCTGCGTATTTACTTAATTTCAGAACAATTTTGATCGAGCAAACCTTTGCTCACTCAGAAAGAAAAACATTAGAGCGAGCGAACGAGTTTAATTAAATATAAAAATAAAAATAAAACAAGAGAAATTTAAGACTGCCCAAAGTGTTTAACTGATTATATCTACGCGTAGTTGATGCGCTACCTGTGTCAGAATCAGAAGGCACTGTGCATACTTTGGTGCTACAGCTATAGATTCACTAACCTGCATCTCGTTTAGTTTTTTCTCCAGGTCATACGTGCGGAGGCGCGTCCCGCTGACCGGCTGCAGCAGTCGCAGCACATCGCCCGACGTCTCGATCATGGGATAGGACCGGAAGTGCTCGATCAGACCCACCAGGTCGTCGAACTGCTCGCCGCTGCCCACGTCGTACTTGTTGTGCTGTAACCAATACTTTATCGTCATTATCAGCCTAATTATGTCCCCGCGTCTGGGGCATAGTCACGACTCTATGGACGGAAAAGGGAGATTGAGTCCTGACCTGCGGGTTCGTGGATATTACCGACTGGAGTTGCAGCCGGTATCGTACACCTGCCGTAGAACGGAGAAGCTTAGGACAATAAATTTTTAGTTACCCTTCCTATTAAATCTGTATCAAAGGAACCTTTTCTACGTAAGTACAAACATAATCAAACAAAAAATTGTGTGTGTCAGCTCCGACGCACGACTGGAGTTTACTCCTTAAGTTCGATAGTCTAACCAGACGCAAAAAGAGTTTATTTAACTTAAAAAAGATTGATACTGTATGAAAGGGTAAATTAACAAATTAATGAAAATAATATACATATATAAATATATATTTATTCATTTCATATACATTTATTATAACTAATCGACGAATTATTTTACATTAAACTTTTACAATAGTCAATTTTAGATGTGCATAAATATATCATTAGGAATGTTGATAAATTATGTAATTATTATTATCAGACTATTATAATTTTTTTAAATATTAATTAAATCAACATTGTCTGCATTATTAATTACAGTGACAAGTGGTTTATGGTAACTAAAATAAGACACATGGACGTTCGTAGACACGTGGTTCACGAATCTTGAAAATATCGCATCAATGGTTGTACCATACCTCGTTGTCCCCATTGCTCTATCAGAAACAATATCTAAATTCAGTTCAGATTTTAAAATTTTTACTAATGTCAATCCGTCATCTTTGTTTGTCAAAGTTTGCATAGGATGCGCACCAAAAACGTAACGAGGTCATTCATCGATAGATTTTACTCCTCACATTTTTCTCATACCGGACCCCTTATATATGCAAATCGGTTCCTAAGAAGTAAACTCCAATAATTATACAAAACTAAAATATTTACAAACAAAAAAGAAAAAAAAGAAAATATCAAATTTAATTCGAATTGCAAAAACAGTACCCTTAGTAAGAGTTTTACAATTACGAAAACTATGATAGTTTTCGTGAGCTCGCACTCGTACTGATGTTATTGTTTTTTTTTCAATACAAATAAACATGTTTAAATTCTATCATTGAACCATTTGCGTCCTCTTAAATTTTAAGTAAGTATATTTGGTTACTTTTCCCCAAAATGGACATAGAAACATAATTTACAATTACGAAAACTATGCTAGTTTTCGTGAGCTCAAACTCGTACTAAGGGTACTGACTCCTTTTACTGTGTATTTGTGGCTCGCTCTTTGGGAACGCGTTCCAAGGGAGTTGAAGCCCTGGCGAACATGAACATCCGTCAGTTTTTGGTCGCGCGTCAAAGGAAACTCACGTGCTGTTTTTTTACGGCAAAATAAACGCATCGAGTTTCAAAAGTGAATAATCATGACAGGCGGGGCACCTGTAGCTGTCGGTGGATAGGTCGGCCTCACGTTCAGAGACCCAAACACGAATTTTGACAGCTCCGTAACCGGATCGAAAAAGTTTCTATGAAAACTAAGCAGCAACGGACGTAAACACAAACTAGCTTTTTCCATACAAAAATATGACGTTAACAATATGATTAAGGAGCTGTCAACATACGTGCTTAGGCGTCTGGTTCGCGGCGGTCTAAACAGGAGTTGAACGCATATCCGAAAAAACGCGTGGCCAGCGTGTCCCGGCTACGCGTAGCAAAGGACTATGATCTTGAGTTATGCTTACGCAGCTAGTTAAAAGGAAAATATTTTTGATGTGTTTTCCTCTCGCTTTCCTGCAATTTGTGGGGGTGATTTCGTGAAATGGGACGGAAGTGTGGAACAGGAAGTCGCGGAAGCGCGCGCTGTTGATTAAAGAACATAATGTTCAAATGGCTTATTCCTTTTGTAGTAGGTTTTATTTCTTTTTTTACTAATATAAGGTGAGGTTTCAAATGTTACACTACTGTAAGGCTCGCTTCTTTTTTTTACGTGTCACATACCTAATAAAATCAAATATTGACGTATTATTGTAATGATCATTAAGATATTTAATTTTCCACTGGATCTGATTGACTTGCCTATTATGATTAAATTAGTATTGAGATCATATCATATGTATCGATTTTGTTGAATAAATATTGTACTCTATGAAAATATATTAAAATGTGAAGCACTTAAAACATACAACTAAGTTTATTTTAAATAAAGAATTAACCTTTATATTAAATAAATAAGTAAAACTCAAAATAATTCAAATATATACTTTTGTTTTTATTTTAATGTCTACGCTTTTCGGTTTTTACTGCAGTAAATTTTTAATTTAATAAATCCAAAAAATATTTTGCAATGTGTTTGTGTCTATATTGACAAAATTAAATAGCTATTATTATTATTATGGCTTAAAGTCAAATCTTAACCAGACAATCTAATTTACTTTGATAATGCCTAAGAAACCACTGTATCATTTAATTTAAATATAAGATTGGTAGTCTACTTGCCTCAAAAAATATTGTACGTATCATCACTATCACATGAACGTAAAAAACAAATACATAAAAACAACTAACCTGACACTAAACTTTATCTTGGTTAAAGAAAAAGTAATCATGTGCTATTAGTGTAACATAATCTGAGAATTGAAGTATCAATACGTCATTGGTTAGGTAGATACTTAGTTGTTACAAGAGGCGGTCGTAAAAATCCACTTTGATGTACTTATTGGTAGAGCCATTGTAATGCTACGTCCATACTATTGCACTATCGCGAACATTTGCCGTTTTCACGATCGACGCGTCTAACCAAGCAACAGTCACATTTCTGACTGTGTTCTGTAATTTGACATTCGCTTGGCAAGACTTATCGTGAAAAAGGAAAACTGTTCACGATTGCACGACAGTGTGGCTGTAGCATAAGATAGGTATTGTACCGAGACACTTGGCTTGATAGCATATAAATTACAATTTCTAATTTATATTCAAGGCATAAAACTACAATAGCAGAAGACAGATAGCTCCGCAAGAACCAGAACTAATTCAAAGATAAATATTCTTTGCTTTTTCGGCAACTTAGTGCTTTTCGGCAACTTTAGGGATATAGTATAATCTAAACACATTTTATGTACTGTGTGTAATATTTGCTACTCTCTATCTAGCTGCTCTCCAGTGTCGAAGACATTAGATTTTAAATATTACTTTGGGAAACGGTCCAGACTTCCGGTAATCTAATATATAAAATTATCGTGTCACGGTGTGCGTAATTGAACTACTTACTCCGAAACGGCTGGACCGATTTTCGTGTATATGCATATTCAGTTGTTCAGAGATTCGGACATCATCTTTTTTTCGTCCCCCTAAATGATAAGGGTGGTTCAGCCTTAATTTTTTTGGACATTTTTTTTTGTTTGTGTTTTTTTATGATACATCATACAAAAATACATAACCGTAAATTTTTCACCCTTCTACCACCAACCTCAATTTTTCTGGTGGTACGAAGTTCGCTGGGACAGCTAGTATTATATAATATTTTAGCTGTTTTTCCTAATATACATAGGTATTTTCTGTAGACAAAATTTTTATGATTATTTTCACAAAAAGCAAAGGACGTATACCAGTATCTATTTGGTGTCAAATTGCTGGCTAGATTTCCAATAATAAAAAGGAGTTAACAAACATTTTACCTTTTAAGTTCGATAAAAGTTGTGGGAGCCATTTTCTTTACGATCATTGAACAAGTCAACACGTTAAATCTGACTATAACCTAAGTCGCACCTTATGGTGACTGGGTCGGTAGATGTGTGATTTTATTAAATCATTTGAACAATTTGTAAGCACGACTAGCTGCAATAGTGTAGGTACTAAAACACTGAAATTTTACTGTGCCAGTCGTGGCACTTTCCAAATTAGGCTGTGCTCATGAGCAGGTACCACCTATGACCTACCTAAATCTAATGCATTTGTAATAGGAACCACGTCCGAAATACATTTACATTTGAATCTGAACATTTTACTCTATTTCATTACACCTATTGCATATCAATTGAGTCTCGCGTTAAGCGTAGCGTATAATTTTTAACAAAAAATAAACAATTATAGTCACCATTAGCGGCCGCCCGCGACATCGTCCGCGTTAGCTTTTTTTTCTAAAATAACAGTTTTTTTCTAAAATAAAAGTAGCCTAAGTTACTCCTTATTACATCAGATACCTGCCAATAAAAGCCTCGTCAATATCATGACTCCACTTTAAGGAGATCTCATTGAGTAACAATACCTTAGTATACTGTATGTCTGAAAACCAATACTAAGATACAATATGACATGTGCTAATCGATGTATCACATTAAAAACATATGGGGCAATCGGTCATTCGCCTAAGTACCTGTTAATTGGGTTCATGTTTTGTAAAGTGGGTAATCTGATAATACTTAAATATGGTTATGGCATAAATTCAAGCCGAGCTAGTAAATCTCTCTTTTTAAAGTCGAACATTTTATATTTAGCAGTAATATTTTTGTACAATTATATAATATAGTACTGGCCCGACGTTGCTTCGCTGCGGTGAAGACTATAGTTTTTGTTCTCGGGCATTTATTATACAATATAACCTTCCTCTTGAATCAGTCTGTCTATTGCTGAAAACTGCGTTAAAATTGGTTAAGTAGTTTTAAAGATTTAAGCGTACTGACAGCGGGTGCGACTTTGTTTTATACTCTGTATAAGATATCTACATATGTGCAACAGGTTTACACTAGACTGGTTATCCAACATAATCCTAGATCGGTAACGTAAACGAGCCCTGTGTCCCGAGGCTGAAGGCCGCGACGCGTGCCTGCGGTCACGTCGCCTTGAGTCCTTTTTTCAAACGACATCGTCATTACAGCTTTTAATGTTTCTTTGTAACGCTCTCGTGTGTAGGTACTTTGCTGTCATTCGTTAGTATTCCACACACGAACTCTTACCGATTTGTTTACGTTTCTGGCGGGTAAATTAATGTGAAGTACCTCC